TGGACGGCACGTCTGTTCTCTCGGCCTAACTCTGTACCTCCCCATCCCAACCAACCACCCACCTACCCATTATACCTTCTCTTCTACCCCTTTCTCACTCTCTGTCTCTGCCTCTGTCTCTCTCCGACTCTCTCCGACTCTCTCCGACTCTCTTCGTCTCTCCTTATATCTCTGCCTATCTCTCTCTTTTCCTCGTCTTCTCCGAGTCTTTCTCCCCGTCGGCGTTCCGCTTCAATCGCTCGTTCCGTCTTTCCGTCGTCCCACCGAGTCGCAAACAGATTCGAAGCGGACGAAAGATTTATTCGCGACTCGACGAACGAACGAATATCTTCCGCCGGGTAGAGTCTTCACTCCCGAAACTGGTAAAAATAGTCGCGCTCGACGATACCACGGATACGTGTTCACGATTCGCAAGAGAACAAATTGGTCAACGTTCTATGGGCGAGCATTTATCGCATCAATCGTTTATCGGTACCCACGCGTTCTCGCTTAACGCACACGCAGTTACACAGGCATGCACGCACACGGAGATTCGCTTCTGTCCTTTTTCGCAGGAGTAACTCAAACGTCGCGGAAGGAAACACGCGAGACAAGTACCACCGCGGAACTGTGGTATCGCGATCTCGAGAAAGGCGCGCGCGCGGCAGAATGCCCGCCCGCCTCCTCGACCACCCACCCCCTTACGGCTCCGAGACCGACGAGAAATCGTCGAGACCGTCGCGTCGTGTCCCGTCGAGTCGCGATCCGTTTGTCCCGTCCCGTCCCGTCCCGTCCCGTCCCGTCCCGCCCCCATCTTGTTCAGACCCGATTCGACCCGACGGGATCGAAACACGCAAACAGATATATCGAAGGACAACCGTTCTCCGACACGATCCACCGCGCACAGGTGGCCCGTGCGTGACAATCCGAACAACTGATCCGATTGGCCTTTAAACCGTGGCCAAAGATTCCCTCCTTGCTCTATCCGCGCTCCCGTCCTATTCGCCCGACCAGCCGTCCGCCTCTACCTATTTCGTCAGGCTCGATCAACTTTTCCATTATTTCGCCATTATTTCCTCATTATTTCCCCATTATTTCGCCATTATTTTTCCCGTATGTCCGAGTATCGGTATCGGTTTCCGACCTATCCGCTCGTCGATGCGTTTCTCAACTCCGTGGTTTCTCCCGAATGAAATTTACCCTCCTCCCAACGACTCTTTCCAAGAATATGTTTCTACTCGTTCCACACAACTACATATTATAGATGCAAAGAGATGCGTCACTCGCGAACGTTCCGATTTCCTATATCGTAGAAACCAACCGTATATATCGCAGTGTACGTTTCTCGCCAGCATCGCTACTCCCAGTTTCGCATTCGTTTCCACCTTTTCTTTCTTCGGCTCTCCATAAACTCGGCCTCCTCCCCATTCTAACGCGATTGATCCACATTGGATGCGTGTAGATCTACCATCTTCGTACGACTAGTTTTGGATTTCCCCGAATACTTGCAAGTCGAGTGTATAACGTAGAAGCGGTTCGCGGATCGGCGAGTCGCTTTAACGAGTATCCCGCAGCGGTACGCGTAAATTCGCGTCTCAATTGCATCAACCGGCGATGCAGCTGCGTTGATTGTGATATTCAATCTCATATTCGAACATGGACCAAACGTACCTTCTCTTTTCTCTTCGAGCCTTTGGAAAAAACCGCGTTTCGCGATTTACGCTCGGTCGGAGAAAAATCAAGCGTGACAAAGTACCGGTGGGAGAATTTTTTCATCGGATCCGACAGATTCGGCGAACAAAGGAAAGGAATAAGATACACGCGACAGGCGTAACGATCGAAACCAAAGCGTAACGCTAATGTAACGTCGTTACGTTTGCCGTTACGAAAATGAGGTTGCGTGTCGTACACGCGCATTCCGTGCTACACCCTATTCCGTTTCATTCCTTCTTACGTCTAACGCGAATCGAGTCGTACAGCACTGCGGCTACCAACGATCGGAATCAGAATCGGAATAAGTGTAAAGAGCAACAGTTTCGTGTAGCCAATTCATTTCCAGAGATCGACTACACGCTATCGTGAAACGAGGGAAACGGTTAACACGATTTTGTGAATGTTTTACGGAGTGCCGATCGTAGAAAAAGTCCGAGAAACTATCGGTACCGAGAAGAATGGACATTACGAAAATGGAAACTAGCTGAACATTAGGAACGTTTCGTTTGAGCTCCTCGTGGTACGTTTCTTTCACTTTTCCACAGAGGAGTCGGTCGGTTTGTTGGTCGGATTAGGTTCGAGCGAGCATTCACTCTCGAAACTCACGTAGCGAATCGCAAAGTTGACACGACTTCTCGTAACGTGACGACGGTCGTTGTCCCCCATGGTGGATCATATGCGCCGGCGGCAGCTTCATCTCCCTCGACGAACACCGTGCCGGAACCGAATCAGTCCCACCGGTCCCAATGCTCCGAATCTCAAGGTAATTTCATCCCTGTTCGCAAAGCTCGCGGTAGCACTTTTTCGCGATCACCGGTCCAGAACTAGAACTAGAACTAGAACTAGAACTAGAACTAGAACTTGAACACCAACAGTTTCTGCGCGTACAACTCGGTCTGTCCTCGGTTTGATCACACCTGGTCCCCTCGAGCCCCCTCTAGTTCCCACTAGTCCTCTCTAGCCTCCTTTAGTCCACTTTACTCCGCTCCAGGTGCTCTAGTCTGGTCCGTTCGAAAATTAAATTACACTTTTCTCGCGTCTGCATTCGCTCGTTGGCTTACGATACTCGGCAACCGCGTATTCCTTCCTTTTCATGGATTTACCAATATTTCGATTGCATAACACCCAACTTGGATACGATACGATCCCGGGCTGTCAACAGCAAAGAGAGCTGATAGGTTTAATGTCTGTATCCGTGCCAGTCACTGCATACGCTCCAACTAATTTTCTCACGCGCTCGAGCTGAACATCGGTTGGTCGAGTATCCTCCTACCAGCAGAATCGTTGAATTCCTCGAACGTTGAGCAACACGAATTTCTTTCTGGTTTCACTTGATATATATAGTTTCGCACTCCTCCTCTTTTCTTTTCCTTTCTTTTCACTTTTCTTTTTACCTGTTGACTTTTGCTTTTTATTAATCACCGTTCACCACTCACCATTCACCATTCACCATGTATCTTGTATCTTTTGTCTTTTGTCTTTTGTCTTTTGCCTTTTACAAAAGTCTTCCATCGCTCACCTTTTAAATTGTTCTCGTATCGTCCTCTTTCGATACCTTCATCTTCCCCCTATACCCTTGTTTCGTCGGAACCCCTAGCCATGCTACTTTTTGTCGTCGTGGTGGTCGTCGTGGTCGTCGACATCGTCGTGGTGGTTGTAGGCGTGATTGTCGTAGTCGTGATCGTGATCGTGACGGCGGTTGTGGCCGTGGTCGTGGTCGTCGCGATCCCCGTCATCTTTGTTTCTCGATTGAAAGGTTGACCAAGCTTCCTTCCGAATCTCATAGATCGGGTATGTTACACAAACGAACGCAACTGTACACGCACGAGCTATCGTACTCGTGTAGTTTTACTCGTGATCCGGCAGTTGGTTCTGCACGTTACGACGGTCGTTCTTGATTCGATTATCCGACAAGGCACTGCTACCATTACCGGTACCGATTATTTCGCGACATTGTTTGTCGCGTTCGTCGAACGAACGTCAAAGTAGAAGGGGTTGATCGAGAAAGAATCGAATGTTCGTAACGCGTTGAATAGAGAACCGAATCGTTTCGCGATTCGATCGGGGCGGACACAGGCCGGACGGCAAGGTAAGCTACGGTACGAATCGATCGACTCGACTCTGCTCGATTCAATTCAATTACAGCAGGCATGCAACGATACTTGAGAAAAAAGAGAATAACGGATCATAGTGGAAACACACGACACCAATTTCAATCAGCTTCGACGGAGCATAGCAAAGCATCGATAACAGAGTAGACAATCGCGCGACGAATACTGACTCGAACTGGTCGCGTAGGGCTGTAAAGCACGCACACGCTTCGCCATCCTTTTCTGTTACACGGTCGTGCCCCTCCGTAGGTACTACTGCCACTTAACGCGAATGGACGGTTAAAAGACCCTCCTGTACGAGTCAAGCGACCACTCGAAACGACTACGATCAGCCTAGGTTCCTCTTGCGCGCAACCGTTCATTGCTACACCCTCCCCCCTACCCGATACCTACTTCGCTCCCACCCTCTCTCGTCACCCTTTCCGATACACCACACCGCGCGCGTGTTTCTTCGCGCGTTAAATCGTATGCACGTTGAGTAACAGCGAAAAGGTTGCCGCATTTATTTCTGATCACAATCAACGATCCGATCCGAACCGATGCGACCCGACCCTAGCCGATCCGATCCGATCCGATCCGATCCGATCCTGTCTGATTCGATATCGATTCGATCGATCCAAAAATTCCATCGACGCGCGTTTACCAAAACCAACTCGATTCGACAGCTTATTCAAATTCTCGCTATTGATCAAGATTCTTCAAAGATTCAACAGAGATGCGCGAGCCAAGGAATTTTTGCGTCGGTACAGGATATCGTGTAACGTCCAAACGACCATCAGTCGAGAATCGTGAAGTTATTACGTTGCATGCGTGAATTTTCCAACCAGTGAAAGAGAATCAGTTCCACGAGATGGATGCGAATGCGCGAGTAGTGGAGAAGAAGGAAGAGGAAACGAAGGATAAGGTGGAGATTTAATAAGAGAAAAGAGAAAATGTCCTTTCCCAATGAATGTATCGCGGTAAAATGCTATAAATAACTCGACAACTTCTCTGAAAGCGGAAAGTAGCTCGCCTTCGAGTTCCGTAGTAAATTCCCAGAATAACTTTCTGGATCGGTGTTCGATCGTTCGATCGTTCGATCGTTCGTTCGTTCGTCCGTTCGTCTGGTCGTTGAATCGTTCAATCGTTCGATCGACCGGTCGATCGATTAGTCTATCGGTTAATTGGTTCGCCGATCGGTTCGTCATTCCTTTCCTTTGATCGCGACTAACGCGCGATACGTTCAATCTGCTATCTTCGGTATCGGTTTGAAATTTATCGGGCAAGTG